TATTATCCACAAAATAGGTAAGAGATTAAGGAAATCTTGTGCTTAACAAGTTCTCTGGCCATACTTTTACTAGGCATATAAAGGAGCCAAGACACAAGCCATATTACCATTCTTAGAACTGCAGTATTATTTCAGGAAAGGCTTCATACTATGACAAAAAAAATAATGGAGAATGTACAAACACCTCTTTTATTTGATACTAGGTGTAAATAGGTCTTTCTAAAGAAAAGAGCTCTGGTATTATATATATACATGAATGAATAAGAATCATTGCTAAAGAATTTTTTGAAGATTTTAATGTACAAACATACCTCGACAGTTACCTAGTTAAAATAACCAAGCCATCTATAACCTAAACACAAACTAGAAATTAAGCTTTTAGAGATAATTAGAGCTTAATAAAGTAAGTTGCCATAAAATGGAAGAATTAAAAATACAAGAGGAGGGAGGAAAGGAAAGAAGAGAGGGGGAGAGAGAAGAAAAATTTTAAGCTACACTCTAGGAGATTTCTATTTTCTCACACAAAATTTCACTCATAAACTAGTTTTTAAAAATGTTTTGGCAAAACTGCCAACTTTATCAACATATGTGACACATAGCACAGCTTTAAAAAAATAAGATCACTAGATCATTCAACAAAATTGTAAACTCTGAAGGTTTAACAAACAGGATTAGCTTTCAGTACAGTATCAAATATACTGTTAATTATCAGAATTACAAGGTAAAAAGAAGCACAAAAAATGCTGCAATATTTGATAGAAAGAAAAAAAAACAACTGTCCACTTCATTGTGGTCCACGCTGCGTGCTTATCTTTCGACTCCCAATAATAATACCCTTTCACTTACGTCCTCCTTGAAAATGAGTTCTAAACATTCAGCCCTAATTGGGATGTATTTATCAAACTCGCCCTGCCCCTGCCTCAAGGATCAGGGACCTATATGAAAAGGGAGGCAGAAAGTTTTTAAGAGCCAGAGGTGGCAGAGTTTTCCAAGAAAAATAGCATCTTCCAGACATAACAGTCCTGATGCACATATAAGCACAGAGGCTGTGACAGCACACACAAGACAAGTCCCAGCAGAAAGAAAGGAAGTACACACAAAGTCCCACCTCTAACCAAGAAGCTATTTGTAATTAATACCTGTTTATAGAGGGAAAATCAGTTTCTTCCAGTAGAGTGTCACCAGGTATATGAACCACCTCAAGGGCAGACATCATGCAAAGGAGTAGTTGATCAATACCAAATGGATTCCATGTTTTTAAGTATGCTTTTTTTGGTTACAGCTTATTGGTTTCTGTTGTGTGCTTTGTTTCATTTTCTTGCTTTTACTTTGTTTTGTTTTGAGAGAGAGAATATGAAATCAGGAGGGGATCCAAGATCTGAGAAGAGTCAGGGAAGGGGAAGAATATGACCAAAATACTTTATAAGAAAAAACTTTTAAAAAAAAATCAATAAATGTAAACTTGGCTATGACATAAAGTATTACCTTGCTTCTATATTAACTAGATAAGGCATAATTTAACAAGTAAAAGAAAAAGTAAATAGGTTCCAGTACAGTGGAGCAGTACAGTGTCAGCCTTTCCCAAAAGACATAACCACCAACCACATTGGTTGGTATAAAACAAACGAACAAAGGACAAATCGTGGTCCAGGTCCAGGTCCACTTTACAAGCTCCTATCTTGACAAATAGCAGTTTCAAAACTGTCTCAGATAAGATGACAAATTGATAGTCATCACAGCAATGGTAATATTTCATTCACTAAGTGAACTAGAATTTAGTGATACAACATTATTTGAATAACTACAACTCTGAATTACCCTACTCTGCTTGCTATGGCATTCACACCAACCCACATCAACACTGTTGTAGTTTAATTCATCTATTTTCTGATATGTTTAGTGTACTTATTTAAGATCCAGGATGGAGAGCTCCCCATTTTCAGGTAGCAAATAGAGTTGGAAAGACCCTTTCCCATAAGCCTCACACAAGCTGACAACTTTTCTTACTCTCTGAGACTCCCAAGAGTCTTTTAAATAATTACATGTGTTTTAAAAACTGTATTGGACTGAACATTGTGGTGCATATCTTTGATCCCAGCACTTAAGAGGCTGAGAAAAAAGGAGAACAACAAGCTCCAGCCAGCCTGAGCTAGATAGTGGAACCCTGCCTCAAAAATAAGTAGCTGCATTAGAAGCTGAAATATTACTTTGTCCTGTTTATGAACATGTTAAAATGTTTGTATATTAAGCACTGTATTAAGGCTTGATTTAATAGTATGTGGTCATGTATGTGAAAACCTAAGCACCAGTCATCCTTTTAAAATTGTGTCTAGTCCTAACAATATTATTCTTATGAACAAATCATACACGAACAAACAGAGCCCTGGGAATGTCCTTGAGTTTAAGTGCCAAAGATCTGATCTTAGTATTGATTTTTTAACAGGCAAATACACAAGATCTCAGAGGTACAAGTATGCAGTTTTGTTCAATTCTGAATCTAGTAAGAAAATCCAAGTAGTTCAAGTATTTGTCTACCATTCAAGAAAGATAATTCAGTATAACACAAACTGAATTTATTGAACAAGCTAAACTGTAAAAGACATGTGACCAAACAAATCCTCTAAAAGGTAGACCAGTATCCATATAATACTATATACATATATAAAACTAACAGGTTTAGAAAGGCTCCTTGAGCTAACTAAATGATTCCCAATCCCAGTGCCCTCCACTTACTTTCAGCTGAATAACAATAAGCAAGCTACTTAACATCTCCAACTCTCTATTTCCTCATCCTTAAAATAAAAAATTACAATCACCATGTTACCTTATTGGGAAAGTCAAGAAATCCAAGTAAAATATGTGAACACTGGACAGCATATGATAAGAACTGAATAATACTACCTATAATAGGTTATATAAATATGTCTTTTCAAAAAAAAGTTCTTTTGTTTTGTTTTGTTTTGTTTTGTTTTTGTTTGTTTGTTTTTTGTTTTTTGTCTTTTGAGACAAGGTTTCTCCGTGTAACAGCTCTGGCTGTCCTGGAACTTACTCTGTAAACCAGGCTGGCCTCAAATACACAGAGATGCATTTGCCTCTGCCTCCCAAGTGCGGGGATTAGAGGTGTGCACCACTGGCCCTAGCTCAAACACAAGTTCTTAAAATTATCTTACTGTCAGAAGAAATTCCCAGATGCCTGTGCTTGAGTAATTGTACACACACGTGTATCATCAAAGCAATGATCACAATGCAGTTAGTATTCTATCAATAGGTGTTAATAATAATGTGCCCTCAGTAGATTATGGTGACTGCTAATATACTTTATTAGCAATGGAGAAAGCAACATTTTTCTTCAAAAGACCACATAAGTATATTAAAGAATGTTTAAAAATGGAATTCCATATCTAATAGTCATGAAGTTCTTTTCACCAGAATAGAAAAGCCACAGATATATATGATATACACACTTCTTAATCCAGGTTACATAAATCACTGAAGAACATTTTTCAAGACAAGCATAAGATGATACTACTGCAACATTTTAATTAAATATTAATATATGCAATATTTCAAGGTAAGAAATTTGGATATTTGTGCATAATTTACAATTCTGTAATAGAATCTATCTAGAGAAGCCATAGATAGCATTCTTAACTAGTGCAGCTTCTCTCCCAAGTGTAAAAACTGTAAAGCACATTGTCATTCACTCCAAGAAACAAGAATCAAAAACCATGTTGCAGACATGGCACGCCTTTTTTCTAGTGACTATTTACCTGTTCATAAACTACTCAAGGAAAGCCCTGATAATTACCATTATAAAACAGAATTAGAAGGAGAAATGATATTCATGACTATTTACCTGTTCATAAACTACTCAAGGAAAGCCCTGATCAGAAGGAGAAATGATATTCATTATTTAATAACAGAAACCAGTCTAACTTCTTAAAATATTATTTGTAAGATATAGGAAATAAATATTATGAGTGATACAAAAATTTATACAACTATCTTGCTGTTTTCCAAATGCCCATATATAATCAACTCTAAACAAAGAAGGGATCCAAATCTAAGTTGAAGTTCAATCCTGTAAACTTTCCTAAAAGCATTCCAGTAGTAAAACAGACTTGCCACTAAAATTAAATAACTTCATCATATATTCTAAAACAAGAAATGCAAACCTGCCTTTCGAGAGACAGAAAATAATGTACAATTAGGTTTAAAAGTTCCATTTGTGTTTACATATGAAACACTATCATTAATCAGTAAGTGACTCACAGTGACCACATACATAATACCCTGATACTTTATAACACTCAAGTAACCCTAAAAGAGTAAATTTAATGCTAAACAACAAAGCATAGCTAAAATCTTATCACTGACATAAATTACCAACAAAGTAAAAAATAAAAATAAGTCCATGGAACTGGAATGAATATACTCTCTGCCTTAGAGCTAATACTTTAATTTTCAAGAACCACAAAGAAAAAAAAATCAAAACTAGTCAGTAACAATGCAGCGTCTAAAAGCAATAAACTCAAAATTAAGTTATAAATAATTTAAAACATGTCATGAAGATGTATTAATAATTCATCAGATAAATAATTTACTAAATAATCAAATAAATAAATAATGAAATACATAAATAAATCAGCAAATAAATAATTCTGCAAAATAACCTAAACAATAAGCCACCCAAACAAATCACAACCTATAAAACTACAACAATTTTCTGGATTCTGATAGTTTTAAATAAGCAAATGTACACAGAATAGATCAATCCTTGTTAGAATTAGAAATATTTTTCAATGCTATCGGAAGAAGTCCTCATTTTAATACATGAGAACATATTTTCAATTTTTAAAAGCAGCACAGGACTGGTTCTTATAAATTATTAAGATGATTATAATATCCACCTCTATATTTTGCATATATCTTTAACATATTTTCCCTGAAACAAATGGACATGAAATATTCTTAAACTTCTTTTTCAGAGAGATACTTACAGTATGACAGTACTTCAGCCTTTCTGACAGTTTTCCTGTCTTCACCCAGCCATTAGAGACTTTCTGCAGTGGAACAACAGTAAGAATAGTTAGTAGGGACAGTGCTTCATTCACATAGAAGCCATAATATTTTATGAGTCCACAAAATAAGAGGAAGTGGACTGCATTAGTCACAAACTGTGTCAAGTTTTAGAAATTCAGCCTCAAAGTTAAGCTTTTTCTATTGAAGCTGACATACCAAGCTGTAACAATTTGCAGGATTTCAGATATGAAGACAAAAATTTACAAAGACAAAGCGACTGGTTGACATCTAAAGTGTCCTTAAATTTGAGAACCTCAAAGTCTTGGAGGGTGCATCACGAGGTCACTTAACTGTTAAGATCTGAATGTAGTCACAATCTAGTTAACATACCATAGGGGTCAAACTACTACTGAGACATATATTAGTCTACACTGAACATTTATCTAAAGTTGTTCATGTATTCCATATAATACAGCATTCTTGAAATCTTCCTGATTTGTCCATGAAAACCTTCATGATTCTGCAGATCTATGGTCTTCACTTAGCTAACACCGAAGTTATAAACCTTTTTAAAAGCAGTACTAAACAGTAAAATGGTCATAAAACAATTTTACTTTTTCAGCTATCAAAAATTTTTCAAAAATGCAAAAGCATTCTGTCATACAATATTTAGCCTTTAATGTTTTATATTTTGCCTTTAAAGCTATCAAATGTTTTCTGAAACAGTATTTATTATTACTAGAATTACTTGAGGGCTGAAGAGATGACTCAGTGGTTAAGAGGGGCACAGCTCTTCCAAAGGAGCAGAATTCCATTCTCAGTACACAAAATAGGCAGCTCACAACCACCTATACAACTCCAACTCCAGGATAATTAATCCAATGCCCCTGGCCTTTTGAGACAACACACACACACACACACACACACACACACACACACACACGCACACACACACACACTCACAGGCACACACACTCACAGGCACACACACTCACAGGCACATACCCCCATACACAGTTAAAAATACTTAACAAATATTAAAAGCACTTGTGACAGCTATTCTTGCTTGTCAAATTGACTACATTTGGAATGAACTAAAATCCAAAAGGCAGGGTATACTGTGAGGGATTTTTTTTTTTCCTTAATTCAATCCTTTGAAATGGGATGACCCCCTTTTAATATGGATCTTGTTAGGTAGGAAGATCCACCTGCCATCCAGATCTTTTGAGGTGGGAAGATCTACTTTCAGTCTGGGCCACACCTTCTGCTGGCAGCTTATATATAGGACATGGAAGAAGTAAGCCTTCTGTCTTTGCCTGCTTGAATTCCTTCTCACTGAGAAGTCCATTCCTTCACTGGCAGTAGAGCCTACTTCTTCAGGATTCTGCCATATACTGAAGACCAGATGAGATATCCAACTGGTGGACTGGATTCTTGGACCTTCCACTGTTAGAGAGCCACTGTTGGACGAGCTGGACTGCAGCCTGTAAGCCATTCTAATAAATCTTGTGTGTGTGTGTGTGTGTGTGTGTGTGTGTGTGTGTGTGTGTGTGTGTGTGTGTAGCTGGAGTTTTCTCCAGTCCTGCTTAAAGTAACCCATTTCTATTAATCTATACCTTGCCATGTGGCTCATGGCTTACAGGTATCTTTACATCTTGCTTCTCATGGTGGTGGCTGGCAACACCTCCTGACTCAGCCTTCCTACTCCCAGAATTCTCCTCTCTCTTTGTCCCACCTATACGTCCTGCCTGGCTACTACTGGCCAATCAGCACTTTATTTATTAACCAATCAGAGCAACACATTCACAGCATACAGAGTGATATCCACAGCATGTGTGTAAATTCTGTAAGTTCTGTTCTTCTAGAGAACCCTGACTAATGTAGAATTCAAGAAGAAAATTCAGCAATCATGAAGCAATTCCTAAAATTAGGTATTTTCTATATCATTTTATATATTTCCTTCTCAATTCCAATTATTCTTCGGTATGAAGTTCAGTTTTCAACAGAGATCTCACTTCCACCAGAACACAACGTGTTTTTCCTTAGCTATGACCTAATAAACTAACACGGAGACCTTAAAAATTAGGTTACATCCCTTCCAAATCAAAAAAATAATTACAACCAAATAATGATTTAAACAACAGAAGTCCAAAAGTGAATAATCAAAGGCTGATTTGGCACCTTCTCCAACTATCTGTAGTCTGTTTCTTTCCATCTTTTGGTTCTGCCTCCTAGTGATTCTATTCAAAGTCACATTATCTTCTAAGCACACTGGGAATTACAACTAATATACACATACTGAAGCAGGAGGGTCAAGGAAGGAACAATTAAGTATCTCCAGTTCCCTTTTAAATTTCACATTGTACTGTATCTTATAATGACTAATGCTATATGGCAAACCATATGATGCACATAATAAAACAGAGATAATACCCTGCAAATAAAATGAAATAAATAAATACAAATGTTCTAATTACGAAGGATCATTCCATACTGACAAAAATTAAGGAAAATATAAATGTTAACAATACAAGTAAATTAAAAGGATAGAATGCATGCCTATGATACTTTGATCAAACGCACCTCTACCTCCCTCCCTATCCTCCACTTCTCCCTCCAAACTTCACATGCTCTTTTTTGCTTTTTTTCCCAAACCCAATGAGAACACTTAGTGCTGCCTTGTATGTGAGTGGGTGTAGAACTAGAGGACAGGCAGTGTCTCGGGTAAAGAGTCAAAGGACAGCAACTCTCCTTTTGCCAGGAGCTATTGCCAATAGCTTCTCAACTAGGTATGAGTTTCATGAGCTGTGCTTTTGCAAAAGAGGTGATTATAACAATACATTGCACATTTCAAAAAGGTATAATGTGTTGACTGTTTTCACCATAAAGAAATAATACATGGGACATCAAGGTGACTTAGGAGATAAAGGTACTTTTCACAAAACCTGAAAACAGGAGCTCCATCCTGGGATCAAAATAGTAGAAGAGAAATAACTACTCTCTTAAGTTGTCCTCTGACCTACAAACATGCATGCATGAAAACACACATACATACACACACACACACACACACACACACACACAGAGAGAGAGAGGCATGGACACACGTTTGCATGCACACACATGTGCAACAGTTTGAAAATGTAATAATACACACTTGAAAATGTGTATTTAACCTGAATGAATCAAATACTTAACATATACAAATTCTAAAGTATATTATTCCCTGACATGTATATTTGTCATATATAATTTCAGTATCAAATTTAGGGGCTAAGTATGTATCTCCATAGTAAGAGAATGTCAAAAGACCATTTGTTCAACCTCAAGCACTTAAGCAATAAAAACAACTAAATGTTTTAAATGCAGAACCGATCTGCAAACATTTTAGAAAGAACTAAATACTAGCGCATAAAATATGCTTCTTGCTGTGTTGTGGTCTTACACTGAGACAAGAAGATCACAAGTTTAAGGCTATCCTGGACTGAGACTCTATCTCAAAATAAATAAAATAAAGATAGACATAGATACATACATACATACATACATACATTTTAATTAAGAGTATGAAAGGTTATTTCTCTCAATTCAAAACAATACATCAAAGATGTTTTTAGAACAATTACCCTTATTATTTGTTGAAATGTCACAAGGGATACACAACTCCTATGAGTTGTCTATCCTTTTTTTTAACAAATTCTATAATATTCCAATATACATCAAATTTCAGGAAGCACTGAATTAAAGAGAAAATACCACACAAATAATATAAACACAAAACATTAATAGTGGCTTAGCTATGGTATTACAAAGTAAAGCTAAATTTCATTTTCTCTATTTATTTTATTCCTTTCTTGTTGTTTGAATCTTAGATGGTCTTTTAATAATAATAAAAAAAAAAAAAACAGAGCCAGATATCAGGGTGAAAGTGGAATGATCAGAGAAACAGAACAGCCATCTACTAGTTCTTACCTCTATGAAATCTTCAGCCTAAAGAGAGAGAGTTCCTGTTTCCTCACACCTTCTATACCTTTCTCTGCCCTGCCACATCACTTCCTGGGGTTAAATGTGTGAGTGCTTCCCAAGCAAAGGCATAAAATCTCAAGTGCAGGGATTAAGGGTGTGTGCCACCACTGCCTAACCTCTATGTCTAATTTAGTGGCTGGCTCTGTCAGATCCTCAGGCAAATTTATTATGGTACACAATATATCACCACACTTTCTAACTTTCTATAATGAACATATCAATTTTTTTCATCAAAGATTATGGCATAGACAAGGAGCACCACTGGCACCTCAAGTACCATCCATTCTGCTGGTGCAAATGGTCTGAGCAGCAGAATAGCCTGAACAGCAGCCTGGACCTGTGCAAGACCTTCTCCTGTTCCAGGCCTCACACAAAGCTAGCAGCTTTCCCAGGCACTTGGTATGTAGGCTGGACAAACACCCAAGTAAAGAATGAGCTGTCTCCAGAATCCAAATAGGCCCACCAAAGGTTGTGCTTCTTTCTTAGTGGTGGGAGGGGCCAGGTACAATAACTTATCCTTCACCTCAGAAGGAGTATCTCTGCATGCCCCACACCACCGGACCCCTAAGAACTTCACTGAGGTAAAAAGCCCTTGAGTTTCGGCTGGATTTATTTCCCATCTTCTGATGCATATATGTGTTACCAATGAGTTCAACATGGTTGCTACCTCCTGCTCACTTAGTCCAATCAGCATAATGTTGTCAATATAGTAAACTAATGTGATAGTTTGTGGAAGATTCAGATGATCAAGATCCTTTCTAAACTAAGTTATAACACAGGGCTGGAGAGTTAGTATATCCCTGAGGCAAAACTGTAAAGGTATACTGTTGGCCTTGCCAACTAAAAGCAAATTGCTTCTGGTGGTCCTTTTAGGCACATACCAATACCAAGAAAAAGGCTTTTGCTAGATCAAAAGCAGCATATCATGTACCAGGAGATGTGTTAACCTGCTCAAATAAGGATACCACATCTGATACAGTAGCTAAGAGTGGATTCACTACTTACTAAGT